TGTGACCCAGTGTAACAAGCATTATCCAACTAGTGAATCAAGGAATTATCCAGAATACAAAGAACCATTTTTATATATACATAAGTGAGTGAAAGCAGTGTGTACAATTTTCAAAAACAATTTACACCGAAGGATATCTTATATTACTCTGCGATGAGTCAAATAATAAAGATTCTTGTAATTTTAAAATATATCTGATGACCATGTCAGACAGTTTGGATTAACTTATGTATTTTGAGAATATAAATGTTAGTGAAGAGGAGGACAGATGTGGGCAATTGTGTTCCCATTGCACTCTCTAAAGATGATGACGGAATAATTGGATATTACTGCGAGAGAAGAAATATGATGAGGATAGGCAGGATGAAGATGAAAATGACATGCAGAGCAAGGTAGTTATGCGGAAGAAAGCTGACGAAGAACTGCAGACTTTCATGAGATTTTCCAAGAAATGTTCATTTATGTCTGTATATGACTAGTCGATAGTGTTGTTACGAAGCTTCATTGTATACACAGCAAATTTTTAAAACTACAGCAACAATCTTGTAAGCAAGCATACATTCAAAGTTATATACTCTCATACTAGAACTTTCATACGATAGTAAATACGGTAATTTTAAAATCTTTAATTTTGTTTTTTCTAAAATAGAAAATCGCATTATGTATCTTAATTTTAAATAATTTGCACAACTTTTTACATTATACGATGCACCCTTATTTAGACGGCCACACACAAGGAAAAAAAGTTTCAATAGCATGGTTTCTTTTAGTTCTCACGCTTCGTAAAAGCCAAATAAACAATTATTGAATGCAATTACCTTCACATATAAGACACAGGTAACTTTTTTGAGACCAAATTTAGGAAAAAAATGCGTCTTATATGCCATCAAATATCGTAGTTAAAAAAGAAATATAAAAAATAACTATTTTGTCTCAGTCTCACGAACCTGAATAAAATTTTTCAGGAAAAAAGCTTTTTCTTTTTTGCTACTTTTGCAGCCAACTTTTCTAATTTCCGTTAATGAGCAGGTTTCAATTTCTTTTTAGCAGCTTTTATATAATCCACTGATACTTTTTTAATTTCTTCATTTTCTGCAATGCTTGATTGCTTTTTTTTAGATTATCGCTCCTTCTTTTTTTATCTCTAGCTCTTTGTACAGTTTATGAGCATTCCTTAAATTTTTTACATAGAGTTTTGTGTACTGGAGAATGCAAGTGGTCATCCCTTTTAAAAAATTCCAGAGCTGACTTATTGCAACTCAAAAATTTGTATTTTGCTGTTTGTATAGCAGACAATGTGTCTATACTCATGCGGCCAGACCATGACCTTGTACAGCCAATCTGTAATACAGGGTTCATGGATTCATGAGTTTGACACCATATTCTCAGCTTCCCATTGATATTAATTAGCTGGAATCGAGACTCATCACTCCTTGCTACTCATTTCAAGCCCACTAGAGTGTATTCTCTATATTCTCTTGCCCAGGCAAGACCCCCCGGGGGTTGATTTAGGCGAATGCCTGGGAAGTACTGGTTAGGATCTGTACCTAGGCAGTCTCAACCACGGGGGTATAATAACAGACTTCACAGAAAGCCTGACGGTCCTCAGGACAGAGTAAGGCTCGCCACATGGTGGATTGATTTTGCGTGGGGCGGAGCTCATCCGAAAGGCCAATAGCCAGGGCAGAGCTGTCTTGCACCACGAGTTGCCCAGGCAAGAAGTGCAGCTCGATGGCATGCATTCAGCAAAGGTACTCTCGTGGGTCTACGGTTTCCGAAGCCCATGTGGTGAAGCAAGCGTTGCACAATGCTTTTACTGACTGTACGACTGTCACCCTGACTCAGCTGGGTGGTAATTTGAGCTAATGTTTGGCTTCGTTGGCTATGTACAATACGGCTGAGCCGTCTCACACCCTGCTTGTTCTAAGTAAATTGTCCTTTCCAATTTGCCCGATCGCTAGTTTTCTTTCCCACCCTCAGTGTGTTCTCGGTACACTCTTGACCCCACCATCGGTATACTCTTGACACTGTGGACCTTGGAAATCCTAGCCTGCTGAGGGTTTTGGAAAAATTGAATGGCCCATGTGTCGAGTGCTTACTATCTGTCTGAGATTGAAGCTGTCTAAATCAGAAGTTTTACCCATACTGGTAATCAAAACGGTTGATTAACAACAACCATAGTAGCAGCCTAATGTGCATTTTCGACAACTTCCTCACGTGAGCACAGATGCCGTGCAGCGCTATAAAATTTGCATAGCCATGTCTATCTTTAATTCAGTGGTACTTCAGTTTATATACAGTGTCTCACGAAAGTGATGGGACACTTGTGCTTTACAAAAGGAAACTGTAATAAATTAAATTAAAAAAAGATGTAAAATTTTTTGTGGGTGTGTTTCATACTTAATTTAGTAACAATTTATTACATACATACATTTTCTCAAAATATTAAGATATTAATTTAATAAAAATACATTTGTTTAGAACGAGCAAAAATGGCTCACAAAAGTGATGAGACACCTTAGATACTACTACTACTACAATAAAAATACTTTTTTTTTTTTTTTATTTTTACTCAAAAGCAATTGGCAATAATTTATAAAATTGTCTGCAGTATTTCTCTCCAGTTTGTTTTGGAATTTTTGTGTTTTTTAGCTCTGTGCAGCCATGAATGCTACACAAAAAGAAACTTTTACTGAATTCGAAAATTAGTTATTAATTTAGATATTGAACGTGGAAAATCTATTAGAGAAACTGCTGAAACAGTTTACTTGAGTCATTCAACAATTTTCAATACCATTAAATGATATAAAAAGAATCATATGATTCAGGATAACAGAAGACCTCGCCGACCATCAAAGCTATCCAAAGGAATAAAGCGAATTATCGTTGGAAATATTAAAAAAAAACTCCAAGAATGAGTGCTCCTATAGTTGCTGTCTGATTTACAAGCATTATATGGAGTAATTGTTAATCCTGAGACTATTATAAGAGTAATTAGATATGCTGGATATCACGGTAGAGCAGCCAGGAAAAAATTCTTCTTGAGTGAAAAGAATAGACAACTCAGACTGGCTTTCGCAAAATCCAACATAAATAGGAATTCTGATTACTGGAATGAAGTTATATTGCTGAGAGAGTATTTAATAATTTTGGTTCTGACGGTAGAATCTTGTGTGGAGAAAACCCAGGAAGAATTTCGCAAACAGAACTGGTGCCAACAGTAAAACATGGTGGAGGAGGAGTTATGGTATAGGGGTGTATGTCGTCGCTGGAGTTGGTAATCTTGTTTTATTGACATAATGGATCAACACAAGTATATTGACATTTTAAATCAAAATTTGAAATATTCAGACGAAAATGAAACTTATAAGATTTTAAATTCTACCAGGACAATGACCCCAAGCACACTGCTTTGAACGTCAGACTCAGACTGCTGTATAACTGTCCTGAAATAATAAAAAACACCATCACAATCTCCAGACTTAAATCCCATAGAGAATATTTGGCAAGAATTGGAATCAAGAATTCGCAAACACACCATTTCTTCAAAACAACAATTAAAATCGGTGCTTCAAGAAGAATGGGTAAAATCACTCAGAAATCACAAAAAAAATTAGTCGAATCCATCCCAAGAAGATTAAATCCTGTTTTAAAGTAAAGGAAAATAAAGCAAAATATTAAAACCTTTTAAAAAGAAATTTTGGATAAATATTTGATGGAAAAGTAGTGTCCCATCACTTATGTGAGCCATTTTTTGCTCCTTCTAAACATTGTATTTTTTTAAATGAATATTTTAATATTTTGAGAAAATGTATGTTATGTAATAATTGTTACTAAATTTAAGTATGAAACACACCCACAAAAAATTTTTACATGTTTTTTTAATTTATTTTACCACAGTTTCGTTTTGTAAAGCACAAGTGTCCCCTCACTTTTGTGAGACACTGTATCATATATGATAAAGCTTTTCATAGAAGACATTTGCCAAAAATAAAAATACGCCTTTCCAAATATCCTCTTTAGTGGTTGCACAGCATAAATTTGGTGTTTAAAATAATCCACATCTTCTCTTAACTTTATGTAAATGAAAGCACAATGGGGCTGTATTTAAGTTTAGAAGCTATGTTGCTTTCAATGTGTTAAGATTCTGTTTACTTATTTTTTAATGAAAGTACAGATTTTTATTGTGCATATAATTTAATAACTTTTCTTTCCCAATGCAGGAATTTTAGAAATATTTTACTTGCATCCAAAAGTCAACAGATGGTTCATGTTGATTTCATAAGCAATTGGGTATTTGCACAATGTATAGATATATGCTTACTATCAAATTACAATTTCTTCATAATATTTTTACCTTATTTGGCCAAATAATTTTTGCCTATTGGGTTCTAAACACATCTTTAGTTATGGCCACAAATACTTCTTATGAATATTTTATGCTATTAAAATTAGTTTCCCATGCATTATTTCCAGCATCATATTACAAGGAATCCTACAAGCATCATATGCAAGGAAAGAATTCTTAATTGGCTAGACATATATTTAATTACTAAAGTTCAAGAAAATTACAAAATAACAACTGAGAAAAAATGGTATGTGAGCAATTTTATGGCATAAAGAAAACCAGAAATACTTAAATATTCAAAGGAATAAAGGGGAAATAATGTGCTTAGAGAACCGTCAGCAACTTCTGACAAAACATACAGCTGACAATTCATAAAACTTTTATTTATATTATATTAATTTTTAAATAAAAATTAATTAATGTTTTTAATTGTAACAAATAAAGATATAAAAGCATGTAAATCAGCCATCCAAAATTTACTGTATTAACTTTAAAGTTCCTTTAAACAGATGTATCTGGTTCTGTTTCCATGCATATATGTTTCAAGTAGGCAGAAGAATTTGTAGATGCAATTTATCTTGACAAAAACTGCAAAACAGAGTTAAAAGTTGGTTGAAAATAGAATTATGTACAACTAGGAGGCATAACTTACCCACCACCTCGAATATTAGGAACAGCGAGGACTCCATTAAAATGCTGCATGAAAACTGTTCTTTCAACTCTAAATGTTGGTTGAATGCTGACATTAAACCCACCGTAACCATAAAGAAGAGCTGGAGAGTTGCCATCCCTAACAAAGTTCTACCAAATAATAATAAAATATAATTCTAACATGTAAAAATGAATATAAAAACAGAGAAAAACATTAAACACAAATATGTAGATAGGTATATAAAATTAAAAATATTTGGGAAATATCTAATTAGAAATATTAAGAGTTTTGAAAACTTACAAATTTATACTGTCTTTTCAAAATAGTTATAGTATTTCAATTAAAAAAAAATCCCATATCAATCTAAGATATTCACAATTTTTCATGTTTGCAGATCACTATTAAAGCATATTTCCATGCAGATTTATTTTCAAATATATTAATTTATTTTAAGAGCAGTTAAAACTGTTTGATACAGGTACACAATATAAATGACTGAACATATTGTAGAAAATAGAATATCAATTTAGAAAAAGGATACAGAATACAAACAATTAGTACTGGATTCTTTTTTTAAATTAAAATGAAATTTTAAATAAAATTCGATGATAAGTTAAGAGCCATGTAGGTCATCTATGACTAATGGTAAAATTTTTGTTCTGGATCTCATGGCCTCCAGTAAATGACATTATTAACCCCTTCATGACGAGCGTATCATATATGCATCAACAGTTAATCCTCTTCTGCAATGGCATGGTGCTTAGCACAACTCACCTTGGATTAGGTGTGTTGTTGCAGTCGTACGATCTTACAAGACGGGAAATTTTATGTCACTAAGCCTGACTTTTAAAAAAATTCATTAACTTTTTTTAATCAATTGTTTTGATTTTTCTGTAATGGTATCTAACAGTAATATAATCACAAATACAGAATATCAAGAGATTCTAAAAAATATTTTAAATGAAATCTAAATGCAAAATAAAACATTTGACTCTTATTGATGAAATGTAAAAAAACTTGCTCAAATTTATAGCTAAACGTATGTAGAAAATAAAACATATAATCAAAAATTATAGTATAAGTGATTCAGAAATGAGACAGTGTGTGATAATTTAGTCACCATCATTTCATTAGTTCTGAAACACATTTTCAGGTCAAACTTTTTAATTCCATCCTGGAACAATAATTAATCCCAGGAATCCCCTCATTTTAGGCACATCTAGAGGAGTATGTTCATTTTGGATGAAGATGGATTTTTCACTCATATAACTTTGAATTAAGTTTACTTTTGCAATTTCCGTAAATTCATGACTTTTATTACTTAATTGTAAAATGCTTTTATGTTAAAATAATGTATCAATTAAAAATAATTTATATTAAAAAGGAACAACTTATTTAGGCTTAAATAGAATACGGCACCTGGCAATCTTGTTTACGTGTGGGCTTTCGCTTTTAAGGCTGCATAGCCTGACGCCGGTATAACATATGGAGGTAGGAATTTCATTCTTACCTTCACGGTATAATGAGAAGGGGGTAGGAGAAGAGGAAAAAGTGGGAAAGAAAGAAAACTGCTTCAGAAACTCTCACCTTCCTGCTGATCCCCAGATGCGTTTTGTTTTTAAGACCATCCCCCCCCAGTTCTCTGGTGATAACAAATCAAGTAAAAGAATTTGCAACTTACGAGCCACATATTTGGTACCGAAACAGAGAAAGAAATGAAATTGCTGATTATAATACTGCTAAGAACTAAGCAATGGAAATAACTTAAAATCAAAGCAACGGCATTTTTCTAAATAACAGCACAAATAAATTAACAGTGATAGAACAAAGCTTTCTTAAGTAATCAGAATCTGAAATTAATCCCCCACGCAGCATGGAAATCTCACGCAGCACGCAGCATGGAGAAAGGCATTCCTCATTTAAAATGTTCACATAAACACAAACACACACACACAAAAAACCATGCCGAAAGGTTTCAGATTTTAAATTACGTCCAAAGGGGCGTTTATTTTTTTAACATTTTGTGTGTTACCTTTTTTTATTAAATATCAAGTTTTTCGCACTTAAACCATAAAATTCAGTTCAACAGCAATATCGTAAAATAATTTTAAATTGGGCATATCTTTAGAATTTCCGATATGCAGTCTCACGTGTTAGAGATAAAAATGTTTTTTTCTGTACAACGTTGCCGTCTCTCACTTTGAAATCCTTGAGTTTGTTAATCAAAAATTCATTAATGTTTTACAAAATATGAAATCAATAATAAAACAAATTCCAAATTGCAAATTTGGGCTTTCAGATGCCCATATTCGCAGTAAGATTGCGTCACTCAAAATTGGATGGCTCTAGATACCGTTATTTTATCCCAATGCGAGAAACATATATATACATTTATGCAGATTCTTCATTATTTAATTTATTCAAATATAATACACTGAGATAGCATTTGGTGGCAACGATTTCAAAAGTGATGCAGCCTTTTAAAGTTTTAAACGCAAAATCGCAAAATGAAAACAACAGGCTTTCAGGGACAATGCCCCTTTGGACTAAAAGAAAACTGCCAACTTAAAAAATTTAGCATAAAAACGTCAACAGTCTAAATGTGAGGAATCTCTTAAGAATATCTATGCACAAATTAACTTAATAGAAACCTAAATTAAATTAGTATACTTAAAAAAGAAATAGATATTCACACAATTGAAAATGAGGAATATAGTTTTAAAATTTTCGTTAAAGTTAAGAAACGTAATTAAAAAGACTTAATACTCAAATACAGTCTGTATCTTACAGAACCAATAGACAGTAAATTGGTGATGACATCAGAAGTCATGTGAGCCTGCGAAACTATGACGTCACAAAAATCATGTGATCTCTCATGTCATTTGCGATTTTTGTGCCTTTTTTAGTCTTCTTTCACCTTAGTTGAAAATTTTCTAGCAACACTGCACATGACAACAAAAAGAATGCATGGGTGTTAATGACACAATCAGAGCTCCACTGTCCCCAACTTATGATCTACTTTAACACCGAAAACATGCAAAACACAAACAAATATTCATTCATTCATTCGTTCATGTTGAAGAATCAAAAGGAATACAAAAATGTTAATTGAAGCAATACCAAAATAAAACATTCTAGATTGTAACTAATTTCTATACTTGTTATATGTTATTGTTTTTGGTACACAGACACAATACTTAATAACTTAATAATATTGAGTTTGTTATTAAATTTATTATCGCCATGACACGCACAAATGAAACAGACAGCTACATAGATACAGTCATTATTACAATAGTTAATTATATTTTAATAAATGTTACACACATAACCTAAATATTGTGGTCTATACGTATGACACACAGACCTTGTATGATTCCAAGACATTGCAGATAGATCTACTCACATGAGTACCAACAGTTGAAGAACTGTTTGCATTTGTACGAGTAAACAGATTTCTTTACCAAGATACATCAAAATCCAAATTTGCTTTAAGTTGAAAGGGAGTATTGGAAGTCTTAAATGTATCCTGTTTGTCACAAGTCTTACCTCAACTGTTTTCAATAATGGATTTTGACACTAGTTCATTATTGAATTATATTATTTCTAAGATTCTAGAATTTTGACAGTTAGAAATAATTTTGTCTGGTCTCCAAGTTTGATGCCTTTAAGGTGTACACAGTTATATTATCAGAAGAAAATGGGGTTAAGTATAATGATTCTTCTGTCATTACAGAATTTTTGCTTTTGCTGCCCACTACCAAATCTTTTCTCTAGATTTTTACAGATTTATTGTGAATAATTAATTGTGCATCGGGATTTTAGTTCTCAACTACAACCAAACAAAAGTTGCACTGTAGAAAATTTAATCCAGGAATAAGAGTGTATTCCATTAAAATTACTGTCTATGCTTTGCAGTCTTCATGAGCTTTCCTGAATATGCTACTGCTCTTTCTGTCTTCCTGGTAACACTTACATAGAAAGACAAGCTTTTATTGGCTATTTACACTGCCCTCCAAAAGTTAAGGAACAGCATTTTTTTAATGTCTAATTTGAGAATGAAGCAACAATGAAGCCAGAAATTTAGAGGACATATTCACTAAACAGTTCTTTATTGAATGCGACATAGAATGTTTCTAAAGTTCAACACAAACATGAATTACAAAAAAATGCCCTCTTGGCAGAGAAACAGTATGGCAGTTTTTTGATGGAAAATGGAGTGGTAACATTATAAAAATGGGTTCTAATAAGCAAAGTGTACATCCCTAGCTGTCATACATTGACGGCAGCGACGTACCAGACTGTCAATTAAGTTGTCGGTGAGTGAAATGGGAAGCAACAACCGAACATGAAGTAATCCTTGTTCAATCTCATCTAACGACCTTGGAGGATGAAATAAAGAAGCAACCTATCTCAGTAGTAGGAGTAGACATATCTCCCAGGTTGCTGACCAGATTCGGGGCTGGGGATAGAGCTGGCCATTCCCTCCAGTCCATACCATGATCCTTGAGATATTCTTCAGCAACTCGAGCTCGCTGCAGTCGTACATTGTCATCCATCAGAAGAAATCCAGGACCAAAATCAGTGGCATATGGGCAGATATATTGATCAAGGATCTCATCTGGATACCTCACACTGGTCAAAGTTCCTCCAAGGAACACATGCAGGTCAGTGTGACCACCGAGAGAGGTCCCAGCCTAAACCATCATTCTACCACCTCAGTAAATGTGTCTTTTCACAATATGGGATTAAATGTATCTGTTGCATTTTTCCCTCCACATCAGCTGACGACCTGAATCACTTTCCAATGTGAACTTGGACTTGTCTGTGAAGAGAACAGATGCCCATTGTTGACTGTTCCAGGAGACATGTTCTCCTGCCCAACATAAATGGGCAGATCTGTGTCCTCGGGACAAGGGGATACAAGCAACTGGTCATCTTACATACAGACTTGCATTGTGCAAGCATCTGCCCACAGTAGTAACTGAGATTTTTGTTCCTGTTGCCACTAAATGATCTGTCATGAGCTAAGGCACAGTAATGTTACTCCTCCTTCAGGCCAAAAGAGCTAAATTATTGTGTTGCAACTCTAGGTGTGCCTGGAACATGACTTCTAGACACGGAATTCTCAGATGCAAACAGATTCCAT